GAGCGAGTCTCCTTCACTGCTCACATACAGCACTTCACGTCTAACACGTCAGATCATCAGACGTGTGGAGTTTTTCCACCCCAAGTAGTTCTAGGACACCAGCTGGATGTCCAAGAATTTGTTTCAGTTCTGACACTGTTTACCTCGAGATAGCATCAGATTCCACGGATTAAAGGTGCAGTCCCATAAAACAACCCATCCCTCTTTCAGATGCCACTCGCTAGCCCAGGTTGTCGCCTGTGCTTCTGACCAAATGGCTGCAGATGTGAGGTTCCTGTGACCTCCTTCCCCTTGGGTGTGATTACTTTGCTAGATCAGCTCACAAAGCAGGGAAGCACTTATGTTTACTTTATTAAAGGACGTAGTAAGTGATACAGTGAATATTTAGAGGGGAGAGGTGTGTAAGGCCAGGCACGAAGGGGTGTGAAGGGTCCATGCCTTCTCTGGGCATGCCACTCTGAGCACCTCCACGTGTTCACCAACCTGGACGCTCTCTGAAGCCCAGGCTCTCGGGTTTCGATGGAGGTGTTGCCATGTAGGCATGATCAATTGACCGTTTCCAGTCCCCCTCCCCTCTCTGGAGAAGGGGAGTGAGGGGAGCTTGAAATTCCAGGCTTCTGAATCACTGCTGGTCTTTCTGGTGACCAGCCTGCATCCAGGAACCTGCCCAGAGTCGCCACATTAGAACAAAAGATGCTCCTAGTGTTCTCACCACTTAGGAAAGTACAAAGTTTTAGGAGCTCTGTGCTAGGAACCAGGGGCAGAGACCAATATACCATATTTCTGGACTATAAGATGCACTTTTTTTTTTTACCACATTTTCTGCTTCAAAATTTTTTTCCTGTTTTCTTCCTCTAAAACCTAGGTGCGGACACCAGACACACCTAGGTTTTAGAGGAGGAAAATAGGGGAAAATTTTTTGAAGCAAAAAATGTGGTAAAGAAGTGAATCTTATAGTCCGAAAAATACGGTATATGTTTTCTATTATCTCACACTTTCACATAGAAATTTCTAATAAATCCAGAATCGATTTTTGTCCACACTGAGATAGGGATCTAATTTCAATTTTTATTTTTTTATTTTTTAAAGATTTTATTTATTTTTAGAGATAGGGGAATGGAGGGAGAGAGGGAAACATTGATGTTTGAGAGAACTGAGTGAGGACCTGGCTCACAACCCAGGCATGTGCCTTGACCAGGAATCGAACCAGTGACCCTCTGGCTCATGCAGGCCAACACTTAATCCACTGAGCCACACCAGCCATGACTAATTTCAATTTTTAAAAAATACTTTATTTACTTAATTTTAGATGGAAAGGGAGGGAGAAAGAGAGGGAGAGAAACATTGCTGTGTGAGAGAAACATTGACCGTTTGCCTCCCTCACACCTCCAGTCGGGGACCTGGCCCACACCCCAGGCATGTGCCCGTATTGAGAACAGAACCGCTGACCCCCAGTTCGCAGGCCAGTGCTCAATCCGCTGAGCCACACCAGCCAGGACTCCCTTTTTAAATACAGAAAACCATTTGTTACAGCACTGTTAATATTGAGAAATCCCTCCTTCCCCCAGAGATCTGAGCTATTCTGCCTGGGCTAGTGTTCCATGAATTTCATTTGCAGTATCCCAAAGGTAGACCTTAGAGCCTGGATATAAATAAGGTTCCACAAAATGAAGCTAGAAACCCTATTTTGTGTTTGCACCATATGGATGAGTTCCATTTCGGTACTTGTGTCTAAATCTTGGGAGAGACTAATCAAGTATTACTTGCAAGAAATGGCCCTTCATCTAGGGCACGGGTGTCGAACTCATTTTCACCGGTGGCCACATCAGCCTCGTGGTTGCCTTCAAAGGGCCGAATGTAATTTTAGGACTGTATAAATGTAACTACTCCTTAACTAGGGGCAAGGAGCTCTACATTCAGCCCTTTGAAGGCAACCACAAGGCGTATGTGGCCACTGGTGAAAATGAGTTTGACACCCCTGATCTAGGGCTTGGGAATTTCATAGGTTTTGGTTGTAAAGGTAGTAGTCACTTCAGCTTTCCTGGGCCTGGGTGCGGTTCCCCAAACAAAACCGTGTTCTGGCAGAGCCTGCCCATCAAGTAATGACAGGACTTGTGTCCCAGTCTTCTGGTCCTCAGCATGCCAACCGGTGACTTCGGTGTTCAGGTGGATGACTCAGGCAGTGCCGTGGCCTCTTCCCGTTTAGAAATCGTCATCACACTCCGCCCTTTCACACTCGCAGCTGCCCCCTGGACCGCATCCATCCGAACACATGCTCCCTGCTGAAGTCGGTAGACCCCACCTCTCAGCTCTCCCACTCTGATGTTCCCCACACACTTCGCAGCAGTGCTTTGAAGAAACGCATGCACAGTCAGGTGCCACGTAACGATGCTTCTGTCAATGACAGACCATATACACAGTGGCGGTCCTGTGGGATTGTAATAGAGCTGGAAAATTCCAAATACCTAGTGACACCATAGCCTCTATGACATTGTAATGTAGTCATTGCAATGTAGTGCAACAAATTACATGTTTGTGGTGACACTTGTGTAAACAACCTAACTATGCTGCCAGTTGTATAAAAGTATATCACACACAATTATGTAAAGTACATAATACTTGATAATAAACAACTATGTTACTGATTTATGTATTTACCATATTTATTATTGCTATTTTAGAACAAATTCTCTCTACTTAAAAAAACATTTGCTGTAAAACAGCATGCCCCTGAGCCAGCAGCAGCCTTGTACATGTCACCGAGTCTCTAGACTGCATCATTTTCTCTTGTGCTTGATCTAGTCCCATGTTTTGTACAGTAACATGGTGCATTGGCTTGCAGCCTAGGAGCAATAGGCTATTCTGTACAGCCTGGGTGTGTCGTGGGCTGTAAGTGTGTGTAAGTGTGTGTAAGTGTGCTCTGTGATGTTTGCATGATAACAGAATCACCTAACGACACATTTATCAGAATATAACTTACCCTAAATAACCAGAGAAGCAGCAAAAGCTTATGTACGAGGGTGTTGAAAAAATTGGAAACAACTTAATACCAGACAATTTTTACATTAATATGGAATAATATACTCTCAATAAAAATATTTTTTAAAGATGTATTTATTTATGTATTTATTTTTAGAGAGAGGAGGAGGGAGGGAGAAAGAAAAGGAGAGAAACATCAGTGTGTGGTTGCCTCTCATGCACCCCCCACTGGGGATCCAGCCCACAACCCAGGCATGTGCCCTCACTGGGAATTGAACTGGTGACCCTTCAGTTTGCAGGCCAGTGCTCAATCCACTGAGCCACACCAGCCAGGGCTCAATACAATTTTTTATCCTCACTTGAGGACATTTATGTTTTCATCGCTTTTAGAGAAAGAGGGAGGGAGAGAGAGAGAAACATTGATTAGCTGCCTTCTCGTATTTGCCCTACCGGGATCAAAAATCCACAACCTGGCCATGTGCCCTGACCAGGAATCGAATTTATGACGTTTTGGTTCATGGGACAACACTCCAACCAACTGAGCCATACCGGCCAGTGCTCACTCTCAATAAATTTATTTTAGAAGAACATTTAATGACATTGGGCATATGATTATAGCATTAGCAAATGGTTATATAACATAATGCACCAGGGACTGTTGTAAATACTTTACAACAGTCCCTGGTCATTTAGTTTTCACAACAATCCATGAGATAGCTTTAACATTATCAATCCTGTTTCATAAATAAGGAAACTGAAACCCAGAGACACTAGGTAACTTACTCTATGATGATGGTTCTGATAGTGTGGCCCATGAACCCCAAAGGGTCTGAAGACCCTTTCAGGGGGGTAGTGAGGTCAAAACTATTTTAGTAATAATGCTATGATGGTATTTGCCTCTTGCACTGTGTTGGCACTTGTACTAACACAAAAGCCATGGAGGTAGAACTACTGGCGCTTTCGCACATATCCAGGGCAATGAGAGAAAGAGAGAAACATTAATCTGAGGGGGAAATATCAATTGGCTGCTTCCTGTATGTGCTTCCACCTGGGATTGAATCTGCCTGGGAATTGAACCCACCAACCAACTGAGCCACCTGGCCAGGACGTCATCATATTCTCGATGCCCACATGGTCATGGATTAAGAAAACAAACAAAACAACTGGCCTCGATGAAGCAGTGAAACATTAATTTTATTAAATCTCAACCCATGAGCGCACTCTTTACCATCTCCCAAGATAAAGTGGAAAACACACGTGGACGCCTTTGCTGCGAACCAGAGGTCAAGGGCTGGGCTGAGGAAGGACACGTGGGCGGCTGTCGGAGCTGTGAGGGGAGCCAGATGTCAGGCTTGGGTGTGTAAGCAGACACTTTAAAAAATAAACAAAGTGAGCTTCACTTTAAGGAAAACAACCGCCAGTTTTTGTTGTTAGTAATAACATTTGAGCTTTCAGGTGAAATTGTGAATTTTGAAAAACTTATAGGTGTCACCGTGGGCTTGACATTCTCAAAATTTTTGAGATGGGTGATGACATTAGTAACTTCTTCTATTGTATATGAAAATTGTAACAAATGACCCATTCCAAATGCAAGAAAAAGCAATGGATTCAAATGGAACAGCCTACAAAGATTTCATTGCAGATTCTACATAGCAACTGACTGTTAAGAAACTACTATTTACCAAGTCTGGTGTAGTATCAGAGGAGAACATCCAGCCCTGGCAGGGGAGCTCAGCTGGTTTTAGCACCTTCCTGATACGCCAAGGTTGTGGGTTCCACCTTCAGTTAGAGCACATATAAGTCTCAACCAGTTAATCCATAAATAAGTGGAACAATAAAACAGCCTCTCTTTCTCTCTCTCTCAAATAAATCAATCAATGAAAAAAAAATTTAAGAAGAGGAGAATCAAGAGCCATAGGAGCCGGTGCCATAGGACCTGAGAGTTGCGGCGTGAGCCCTACCGCGCCGTTTGGCGTGAGAGCGGATGGTTGAGAAGGCCGCGGGACTGGGTTCCCTCCGCCATGTTCTGCAATAGAGCTGTGGAGTTGGTCCGCGAGTTGCAGCGCGCACCCCAAAGGCAGCTGCTGGCATTCAATGAGGATGGACTCAGGCAGATTCTGGAGGAGATGAAAAATGTATATGAACAAAGCCAGTCTGATGTGAATGAAGCAAAGTCAGGTGGACCAAGTGATCTGATACCAACCATCAAATTTCGACACTGTTCTTTGCTAAGAAACCGACGCCGCACTATAGCATACCTGTATGACCGATTGCTTCGGATTAGAGCACTGAGGTGGGAATATGGCAGCGTTTTGCCAAATGTTTTACGATTTCACACGTCTGCTGAAGAAATGGAATGGTTCAATCATTATAAAAAGTCCCTTGCTACTTATATGAGATCACTGGGAGGAGATGAAGGTTTGGGTATTACACAGGATATGAAACCTCCCAAAAGCCTATATATTGAAGTACGATGTCTAAAAGACTTTGGAGAATTCGAAGTTGATGATGCTACAGCAGTGCTATTAAAAAAAACAAAATAGCCAGAGCACGGAGAACCATGCACACCGGTGAGCCCTAAAGTCCATGTGAGTCAGCTGTGAGGATAGAGAGCTATGAAGACCACTGCCATGTTGCCAGCCCTCCATCACACCTGGACTTAAACGATACAATGTTCTTTTGTGTTTAAGTCCCCAAATAAAATGATAAAATATAAAAAAATTTAAGAAAAGAATATCCATAATTATCTGAAAAGGCTATTGAAATACTCCTCCCTTTTTCTCAAGAACAGGATTTGCTTTATATACTTCAATCAAAACAATGTATTGCAACAGATTGAATGTAGAAGCAGATATAAAAATTCATTTGTGTTCTTTTTAAAAGAGATATGCAAAAATGTATAGCAATGCACCCTTCTTATTAAATTTTTGTTTTGGAAAATATGGTTATTTTTTTAATTTTTTTTTTTTTTTTTTTTTTTTAGAGAGAAGGGAAGTGAGGTTCAAAGAGAGGGAGAGCAACATCAGTGTGAGAGAGAAACACCAGTTGGTTGCATACTGCACGCACCCTGCCTGGGGACCAAACTGGTGACCTTTTGCTTTGTGTGACGATGCCCAACCAACTGAGCCCATGGGTCAGGGCAGGAGTATTCCATTTTTAAGGGTGTAAGGAAATCCTGGGACCAAAAAGTTTTTGTTATTGTTGTTTAGTTTTTACTTCATAATCATAACCTTAACTCTGCAAAACAGCTAGACTTGGAAGGGGTAGGGAAAACATGGAACCCAATGAACTGCAGAGAGAACACGAAGATTATAGAACATTCTAAACAGATGGGGTTGAAGGGGTGCTCTCCTGAGCTACAGAAGGAATGGTCTGGTGGTTCAGATAAAACACAAGTCAAATGTATTACAGTTGTCCACCGTCAGTAATGGCCAGGATCTTCTTGCTGGTTTTGCCATTCCTGGACCCATAGTGCTCCATGGCTGTCACAGCAACATCCATGTGCTCTTTCACCTGGCTGAAGACCACATGCTTGCCGTCCAGCCACTCGGTCTTGGCAGTGCAGATGAAAAACTGGGAACCATTTGTGTTGGGTCCGGCATTTACCATGGACAAGATGCCAGGACCTGTGTGCTTCAGGACAAAATTCTCATCATCAAATTTCTCCCTGTAGATGGACTTGTTGTCTGTGCCATTGTGGCGTGTGAAGTCACCAACCTGGTACATAAATTCCGGAATAATTCTGTGAAAGGAGGAGCCTTTATAACCACATGCTTTCTCCCCAGTGGTCAGAGCACAGTTTTCTGCTGTTTTTGGAACTCTGCAAACTGTTTGAAGGAGATGTGGTCCAAAGGCTCGTGGTCCGCAGTGATGTCAAAGAACACGGTGGGGCTGACCCTGGCTGGGCATGGGAAGGTCCAAGGCGGCGGCTTTGGCATCTGCAAGGCCCTGAGACCAAAACCTTTTGAGAATCACAGTTCCACAACTTGGCATGATGAAGTGTAGCCAGGAGGTCTGGCTCTAGAGTCCATGCTGTAGAATGTTTAATTATGCCAATGGTTTCCTAGCTTAATACAAGGACTGGCAAGAAATACATGAAAATTTCATAGTGTTTATTTCTGGGCAATAGAAATGCAAGTTTTTTGAGTTTTGTTTTTATGAATGTTTTGAACTAAAACATACTACTTTTGTAGTACAGGAAAACATAAAAATTATCTCTTCTTTCAACTCCTCATTTTCTTTTGCTTTCTTGTTAACTTCTTCCTTGCTTTGTTTCCATCTCTAATGAGAAAAGACCTCATGATTTATCACGTAAACTACCAGCTTGCCAATGACTTCATCTCCCAAGCTTCTTTTTACTTCATGCTCATCCAAGTGTGGACTGATTCTCAATCATCTTCCTTTTCAACTTTTTCATCTAGACTTCTAAGGTGCAGAGAGGTTTGGTCATTTGGCCAATGACACTGATCTAATTAGCGGACACAACAAGGACCAAAACGCAGGTGTAGCTCACTGGTAGGTGAGCCACGTGGAACAGCTGTTTCCCATTCTCAGCAGCCCTCAGTGACCCTGGTTAGCCCTCACCATTTCCCTGCAGCAACTACCCCTTCACTCTCAGTGGAAGCCACCCCCTTCTTTATGTAGGGAGTCAAGGCCGTCAGTCAGGAAGCTCTGAACCCCTTCCCTCCTCCTGCACCTCCAGCATCAGTTACACCTGAGTCTCTTCTGCCTCCAACACTGGCTCTGCCAGGGCTTTTCTCCCAGTGTGTACCCATCAAATCCACACTCCCGTAACCTTGTCTGGGGCCTTGTACATTACTGTTTGACATTTCATTTTACAATGAACATCTCTTTCTTTTACAATAACAACAAATATTGCAGATTATTAAAATGGAAAATGCTCACAATATGTAAAATGCAACAAACGTCTTTCAAAGTAGCTCATTTTTACTTGGATTATGTGGGTGAATTGAAGGGCTATCAATCACCCTGAGGATAAACAGTTGTCACCTCCATCAGCTGGGTGCACTGGCTGCTGCCACCCCCCCTCCTTGCCTCTGGTACACATTACAGATCCAATACCATGACTGACTCCAAGGACGTCACAGCCCACAAAGAAAGAGAAACCTTTGAATTAAAGGCTTAATGATGAAAAGAAAGGAGAGAAAAGAGGCTGTGAAGAAAGTGCTGCTAGGATTGTGGAGAAGGATGTTCGCTCCCTCTTCCCAGATACAGTAGTGGACTGTGTGCTGACTGACACTCTGCAACTAAAGGAGCTTCTGTATCTCTACCTGCAGAACCACGCCAAGAGCCAGCCAGACAGGGCCATCATGGCTGTCGACAGCTTTGTGAAGGCCTATGAAGATCCCAGTCCTCTGATTCGGGCTTTGGCAGTCAGAACCATGGGGTGCATCCAGGTGGGCAAGATTACAGAATGTCTTTGTGAGACCCTCCGCAAGTGCTTGCAGGATGAGGATCTCTATGTTTGGAAAACAGCGGCAGTTTGCTGGCAAAGCTCCATGATATTAATGCCCAAATGGTGGCGGATCAGGGATTTCTGGATTCTCTGTGGGATCTCATAGCAGATTCAAATCCAGTGGTGGTGTCTAATGCTGTAGCAGCATTATCTGAAATCAGTGAATCTCACCCAAACAGCAGCTTACTCGATCCAAGCCCACAGAACACTAATACGCTGCTGACAGCCCTGGATGAGTGCACGGAATGGGGCCTGCCTGTCCCCTCGTGACCCTAAAGATGAGCGAGAGGCTCAGAGCATCTGTGAGCGGGCGACTCCCCGGCCGTCTCAGGCCACCTCAGCAGTGGTGCTTCCAGCAGCAGCAGTCCTGAGGGAATTTCTGGACTTGTTAGCCGAGGGCTCTGACTACGACGACATGCTGCTGAAGAAGTTGGCCCCTCCACGCGTCACTTCGCTGTCTGGGGAGCCAGAGGTGCAGTACGTTGGCCTGGGGAACATCAACCTAATTGTTCAGAAAAGGCCTGAACTCTTAAAGCAGGAAATCAAAGTCTCCTGTCCCGTCTATGTTAAACCGGAGGAGTTAGACCTCATGATTCGTCTGGCATCCCAGGCCAGTATTGCTCAGGTTCGGGCAGAACTGAAGCCACAGAAGTGGGTGTTCACGAAGCCATGTGGGCCACTGGACGGTGTGCCATCACGGTGGAGCGGCCTGCAGAGCGTCGGTAAGCACACTGCTCAGTCTCAGCCAGTCCGAAGTGAGTTACAGGGTCCAAGAGGCAAGATGTCCCTGATCGTTGTCATCAGAGACGTCTTCCGCAAGTACCGGAAGCATGGAAGTCTCATTGCTGCTGTGTGAGAACTCGCTGGATGAGCCAGGTGTCGGAGCAGCTACGATTTGGATGGCGGGAGAAGATGCTGAATGCACCAACAGTGCAGATGAGTTATGAGAGAGCTCCCTGGAGGGTTGTCAGGGTGAAAGCACCCTGGTGCGGCTCACTCTGCTTACTCCCATAGTGAAACTGTTTCTCAAACTTCCAGAAACACAGGAGCTGGTACGGCAGGTCTTGAGTTTGGCAACACAGGATTCTGATAATCCTGACCTTCAAGATAGGGGCTATATTTATTGGTGGCCTCTCTCAACAGACCCTGTCACAGCCAAGGAAGTAGTCTTGTCTGAGAAGCCACTCACCTCTGAGGAGACAGACTTCACTGAGCCAACTCTGCTGGATGAGCTAATCTGCCACGTTGCTTCTTTGGCCTCTGTGTGCCACAAGCCTCCCGATGCTTTTGTGGAAGGAAGTCATGGAATCCATCGCAAACACTTGCCAATACTTCATGGGAGCACCGATGCGGGTGACAGCTCTGTTGGCACCACCACTGCCGCCAGCGTGGAGCAGCCTCAGGTTATTCCTCTCAAGGTGACCGTCTCGGGGACCTTTTAAACCTTGACCTCTGTACCCCAGGCAATGTGCCACAGGTATCCTCCATGCAGGTGGGAGCAGTGGAGCTCTTGGGAAGAGGACTAGGTAGGCTGGTGGGACAATCCTTCATCTCATCACTGGCGCCTGCAGCCTTTGCTCCTCCCCCTACCCCTGCGTGGTCAGCAGTGGTCTGGATGACCTGTTTGAACTCTCTGCAGGGAGAGGCATGCGCACAGTGGATATGTGGCTCCTAAGGCTCTCTGGTTGCCTGCAGTAAAGGCTAAAGCCTTGGAGATTTCTGGAACATTTACTCATTGTCAGGAGCACATCTATATGGAAGTGAACTCACCGACAAAGCTCTGCAGCACACAACAGACCTCGTGATCCACTTTCACAAGAACAGATTTGGTGTCATCCCCAGCGCTCCTCTGGCCATGCACACACCACTGACGCCAAACCAGCGCATCAATGTCTCCCTGCCTCTCAACACCTTGGGCCCAGCCTTGAAGATGGAACTCTGCATAACCTGCAGGTGGCTGTGAAAACAATACCAATGTCTTCTACTTCAGCGGCCTCATCCTGCTCAATGTACTTTTTGTAGAAGATGGCAAAAGGGAGCGCCAGGTCTTCCTTGCAACGTGGAAGG